TCCACCAGAAGTAATTCCTGAGTGCAGAGCCAGGAGTAACCCCAGAGCACTGCCAGGTGCAGCCCCCAAAAACCAAAGAAGGTGATTCATTCTTCTGAAAGATGCCTGCCTAAGGGATCCTTTCTGGAGACTGAAGCATTCAGGTTTACAGCATGGCACAGTACTAATGCGTACTAATGCCCTTAGGGAGCATTAAGAAGAGGATTTTTCCACTTGCTGGAAGGTTGTTTTTTTTTTTTAATTGCCATTAAAAAAAAATCCTTTGTCTGCATTTATGCCTTGATGTATTGTGTGAGAGAGATTTTGGAACTCCAAAATTCCAATGAAAAAGTTCTTAGTGCAGCTACTTCAGTTGAGTTGTTGGGAACTCCTTCAACTTGAAATGCAGTGAAAAATGGCATTAGTAAAAGACCAAAACAGGTCAGTGTATGGGTCTAAAAGAGGAATGTTTTCTAAGTTGCTTCACCCAGCACATGGAAACATCATAAACAGCACGGTGGAAAAACTTGGAGCTGGGGCTGGCTGAATGAAAAGCAATCCTCTTCAAGGAGCAGCTGGTCTGAAGGATGAATGGGACGTGTCTGAACAGGCCAAATTATATGGGTTTTTTCCCTCTCCTCCTTGTGAGAAGGAAATCTTGAATATAAATCATGGCTTTCAAACAGTATTTATCTTCTAAAAATAAGTCCCGAGTTTCGAAGAGTTATTTACCAAGGTTATATAAAACACTAAAAGCACAGTTTTGACTTTATTTCAGTAGAATCCTACAACCATGACCACTATCAGCAAATGTACTGAAGACAAGTCAGTCATTGGGGCTAACTGTGGTCGAAAGGAAGGTGTCCAAATTGTGGTTTCTTAAACCCCCAAGGGTTTACTTAGCTGAAGAGATAAGGCACACAGAGAAAAACAAAAAGATAAACTGCAGCCTGGGTTAAGTAAGTAATACAGGAATGCAGGGGTTTTGCAGTGTAAGGGATGGATAAAGTTCTGGTAGTTTGACATAGAGAAGAAAAAAATCCAAGGTCGAAATCTTAGTGCCACTGAGATTAGGGATATTAGGTAGATATTATGCAATGTTTGGAAACCTCTTACCCCTCAAGAATAACCAAATCAAATGGTGTTAACAAGTTAAATGTTTGGATTTCTACTGGAGAATCCTGTGTTTGGCAATGTGATCCTTAGGTAACTTTTTGGTCTGATTTTCTTATTTGTGAAATAGCCCCCCCCCCTTTTTTTTTAACTTTGCTTTGGTCAAAGAGCTGCTTATAGGCCCAAATAAGTCAGTATTTCCTTCCATCTTGCAAAGTACCTAGTATTTCTGTCAAAAGATTAGTTTAATAGTAATAGTCCTCTAGTTTTAACATGGAGCTATGTGTAAAGAATCAACTAGCTACTACCCAAAGTAATCAACCCTACCTCTTTGAAGAGGCATAAAGACTCTCTGATTATTAAGCTAATTATACATGACAAATTATTATTGCCTTCAGAAAATCAGATCAGGATTTCAGCTGGTTTCATTTTTTTGTGTGCTATCCAATACCTACAGGCAAACTCAATTGTCATGGTTTTGATATATTTTGTATCATAGACATCGTAGGGATTATCTTCAACAATAAGAGACCAAGACACCAGGAATCAAACCTGGTGCTTTGCCAAACAGGTGTGTGGGAGTCAGGCTTGCTAGAAGAGGGCACTGGATCATTTCTCAAAGCCTGGAAATATCCAGGTCCTATCCCAGACACACATACACAAACTCTGTGGAGGAACAAGGAGCCTGCATTTTTATTTTATTTATCTTATTTGTTTTGTTTTATTTTGTTTTGGGGCCACACCTGGCGAACCTCAAGGTTTACTCCTGGCTCTGTACTCAGGAATTAGTCCTGACAGTGCTTGGGGGAATCATTTGAGATGCTGGGGATCAAACCAGGTCAGCCTTCCTGCTGCACTCTCTCTCTGGCCCGGAGTCTGTATTTTTAATACCCACTCCCTAGGGGGTTCTGTGCACGCCCAATGCTGAGATGACAGTATTCTTACTGTAAACTCCAACTGTTTTTTTTATTTCCTTAAATCAGGAGTCAATGGAAGACTTCACCCCAATTCTCTCTGGAGAATTTTGCAAACTCTGAGGTACTCTAGAACACAGGAGGTCTTCTTTATTTGTTTTGGGGTTTGGGGTCGCACCCAGTAGTGCTCAGGGCTTACTTCTGGCTCTGTGCTCAGGAATCACTCCTGGCAGTGCTCAGGAACCATTGTATGTGTGTGTGGGGGGGGGGGGGCAGGGGGGATCAAATCCTGGTTAGCTGAGTGCAAGGCAAGCATTTTACCCTCTGTACTATCTCTCCAGCTGTCTTTATTTATTTTTTTAATTTTATTGAATCACCGTGAGATAGTTACAAGCTTTCATGTTTGGGTTACAATCACACAATGATCGAACACCCAGCCCTCCACCAGTGCACATTCCCCACCATCAATATCCCCGGTATACCACACCTTTCCCACCCTCCCCCTGCCTCCATGGCAGACAATATTCCCCATACTCTCTACTTTGGGGCATTATGGTTTGCAATATAGACACTGAGAGGTTATCATGTTTGGTCCTTTATCTACTTTCTGCACACTTCTCCCATCCTGACTGGTTTCTGTCTTTATTTCAGTCCCATCATTCCTAAAAGCAGAATGTAAGGGAAGTAAATCCAAGATACAGGCAGATTTCAGGGGAAAAGGCCCCGCCCCCCCACACACACACACACACTCCATTAGAAAGAAATACTTTCTGGTCCTTGCCTTGCCCCCTTTGGATATCGGAGGTCAGACATTTGTCTCAGGGATCAAACCTCTCCCCTCCAAGGAGGCGGCTGGACAGTGGGAGGGGAGGATGAGGGGTTATTTCTCTCTGTTCACCACTGCCAATCTGTTTCCAGAAGCCCCTCTGGATCAGAAACAAGGTTTTTGAGGGAAACCGGAACAAAAGCAACATAACAGGAAATAACTTTTCTTTACGCGTGTACAGCATATAGAAATTCTGCTAAGTATTTTAAAATACAAATTTAGAACCTCCACACCCCTCATTCTCAATGAATAATCCCTCCCAAGACAGGTTATTAAAAATCATGAAATCAGGGTTAGTTAGCACAGTGGTTAGGGCGCATGCTACTATGCCCAGGTTGGATCCTTAGCAGACACGGCCTCCTGAACATTCCAGGTGTGGCCTGGAGCCTGGAATCACAGGTCCGAGTAGCACCCTACCTCTGGGTCTCTGCACTGAACCTGCAGCCTCATGGGCAGAGACTTGTAATGAGTGAGTCAGGGTTCCCCAAGTACTGCCTGGAAGGCCCCCAAACAAAAACAAAACTGAAAAATACAAAATTTAAAAATCTACGAAAACAAAAATGGCACCTAGGCTCACCTTCACAAAATGACAGACTTACAGGGTGACTTTACCCAGAAGAATTTCCTTTTTTTTTTTTATATATAATTTTGTTTTTTAGACCACACCAGCAGTGCCCAGTTCTTGCACCAGGATCACTCCTGGCAGTGCTCTGGTCATATATGGTGCCAGGGAGAGAATCTGGCCAACAGCCTACAAAGCAAGTGCCCTACCCGCTGTATTACCTCTTTAGTTCAGAGTGGTTTTCTTAAAATCCATGAAAATTGCTTTTGTTTTCACTTGAACTAGTGGTCAACTTACAAAACGCAAAAATAAACCTCAAGTCAAAAATTCTTACACAAGAACCCAAGTTTCCAAACATTCTTGAAGAGGTGTAAGCCTGCTAGTACAAGGTAATCATTGGCAAATGCTCGGTGGTGTCCTTCAGATGAGGTGCCTGTACAAATAAATAGCAGCCACCTCTGGAATCGTCCCTAATCCCCACTGGGTCCCCATGTCATCCGTGTGCATAGCCCTTGACCTCACCAGGGGAATAAATCAGCTGCATGCTGTCACTCCCGAGAAGGGCAGTGACCTTCTCAGCAAGGGGGACAGGGGCCGGGAAAAGACTAGAACCAGACCAACTGGGTTTTTGTTTTTCTGCATTTCATTTACAAATAAAGAAACTGATCTCTCAATAAATCCCAGAGGTATCTGAGTTGGCCCAGGCGTGAGGAAGGTATAGTCATATTACTTACAACTTCCCGTTTCTACTGCCCTCAATCCCCACTCACCTGGTGTGTAGAGCACGACCAACAGTAAAAAAATACAACAGTCACCAACCAACCACCTTGCAGTCTCTGGTACTAACCCTGAGTTACCTCCTCAACCCCTAGAAATAAGCAGGACAGTACCCAGCACATTCTATAGAGAGGCAGGCCGAAAATCACTGCAGCAACCTAACTTCGCAGTTTGTGGACTCTGAGTGCAGGAACTAAGAAGTTAAGTTTGGTATTTGCCATAGAAGTTCCCTTTATGCCTCAGTTTGTCTGATGAATGCATGGCTCTAGACAAGTTATTCCTGCAGCCTGAATTTTCTTATTGGGAACGTAGAGCCAACCAACTTTGATCTCAAAAGGGAAGATCTAGAAATCAGGTTGGGAGCTAATCTCCTACAGTTACGCTGTGTTAAAATCAGATGAGTAATAATACTAACTGTAGCTCAGCTATCTTCCTAGTTCTTAAGTAAGAAGATAATAAAGTGATGGAGGAGGAATGCGAATCAAGTTTCATTTTCAGTAGGCAGTACCCAGTGAGGAGGCAGACAACCTGCCCATCTTCTGGGGCCAGTAGGCACTGAGTGCATCCTAGGCAAGTCGCTCTTCCTCTAGTTATGGAAGGAAGGGAACAGCACGTTCCCTACTTCAGAAGGTTATCAGGACAGTTACAAGTGACTCTGAGCACCTCAGTACCAGGATGATGTAGAAACAGGTCTCGTACATTTTTGTTATCTAGTCTTACCTTCCAAGAGACCTCAGTGGAATGGAAACTTAGGTGCACACTGAACATGACTAATGGGGCACAAAGTCGCAGGCAGAAGGTGACCTGGGCAGCCCTGAGCAGTACCCACCTCTGTTCTGTTGGATACTGGTTTTCAGGCATCATCTTTGGCATCTGCAGGGGCTGATGTGGTGGCCGAGGGACCGCGAAGGTTTGCTGCTGTGGTCCAGGTTCTGGAAGTGAATGAGGGGTAGGGGCGGGGCCCACACCTTGGCCTGGGCCAGCTGCAGGGGCATGTGCTGAGGTGGGCAGAGTGGCCTGAGGTGGGGGAAACAGGGAGTTCTGGTGGGTGGGGGACAGGGGGGTGGTGGGTGGGGTTAATGGCTTGAACCCAGAGGGAGGCTTCCTATCGTAGGCACTGCAAACAGAAAAAGAGAAGGAACCATTAAGCTGCAAGGAAGCCATTAGCCTGGGCACCAGGGGCCTGTGGCACTCCAGGCTGCAGCCCAGGTTGCCAGGAAATGACAGCATTAACATAGTTAAAGTGCTGGCAGCCCTGAGGGAATATTTGTACCTCTGAGAAGTGACAAACACACTGCGTCACAGGGACTTGTTTAACACTTCGAGTGATTCTTCTCAAAGATAATTTTAGCCACTGCTTCCGGTTTCTTCCCCCTCCCCCCCAACTCCCCTTTCTAAAAGAATTCTCCACATACGTGTGTGAGCGAGTGTGTGTGTGTGTGTGTGTGTGTGTGTGTGTGTGTGTGTGTGTAAAAGCTCTGGTGGGGTGGAAATGGGGGCCTTCTCACCCAAGTATCCCAGGGTTGCTAGGAATCAGCCAGAATCTTTGTTGCAGATAAATTTCTGCTGGTAACATTGCTTGAATTAACAACTCTTCTCCTCCCCGCTTTTTGGGCAGTGCTATGTTTATCTTCTAGAGCAAAGAATGATTTAAAATTAAAGCTTCAAGCCCGGGGCTTGGATCTAGTCTTAAGTAAAGGGCAACAGGCATTGGGACTTTTTCATATATTCTGATTTGAAGATTACTTCTTTGGTGCTTAAAGTTCACATTAACATATGATAGACATGAAGAGGTATATATTCCCTCCCTCGAAGCCGAAGATCAAACAGTCAGTATTCAAGGTCCTTCCCCTGAGGAAGGGTCCAGCCCCGGGGAATCAGTTCCTGCTGAGCTGTTTTCCTGGTTTTATGTGTGCACGCAAGGCACGGACCCAGACACATTGCCAGGATCACATTGCCAGGGTGGGCAGCGGCATGTACCTGAAATAGACCGGATGGCTACTCTTGGGCCAGTCTTTCCGGGGTCCCACTTACCAATAGTTGTAGAGGCACTTTTCTCCATAGTTAGCACCAAGAGCTTGCTCGTGGCTGCAGGACGACAGCTCGGAGGAGGGGCTATGCAGCTCCCGTTTGATCTTGGTTGGCGGTGGGGCATGAAGCACCACTGGAAAAGAGGGAGAAGGGAGGAACAGAGAGAGCAAAGTCAACAAAGAGCTCCATGGGTCTTCCTGCACCCCCAGCTCACCCACTGATGAGGGAACACATGGCAAATCACGCCAGTGAGTCAAACCTTTCAAGCCTTCCATCTGAAACGAATGAAAAGTTCTACCAAGTCAGAAATCATCCCCAGACACTTTAGTCAAGTCTCTTCCTACCCGTCCTCAATTTCTTTGGTGTAGGGGCTGTATCCCAATGGTTCTGAGACGCTTGAAAATCAGGAAAGGGGCCAAAGCAATAGCACAGCGGGGAGGGTGTTTGTCTTGCACAAGGCTGACTCGGGTTCGATCCACGGCATCCCATATGGTCCCCTGAGTACCATCAGGAGTAATTCCTGAGTACAGAGTCAGGAGTAACCCCTGAGCATCGCCAGGTGAGGCCCCAATAAAAAGAAGATCAGGCCAAGTGATGGCACTTTGAGACAGATGTGATGACGGCATGCCAAGGGATGCAGATATGAAGAATTTTTCTTCCAAAAAGGACACAAGGGACTCAAAAACATATCGATTGACATTGGGTTACCCAAAAACTCAAAACCGTTGCAGCAAATAGAGCAGCCAGAGGCATGCTTACAAAATAAATGTGACTTTTTAAAGTTCTGCTTCCAGCAGCTCTGGTCTTTCAGTTCTGGGTTAGAAATATTCAATTTTGGAGCTGGAGCAAATAGCACAGCAGGTAGAGTGTTTGCCTTGCACGCAGCTGGCCCGAATTCGATTCCCAGCATCCCATATGGTCCCCTGAGCACTGCCAGGAGTAATTCCTGAGTGCAGAGTCAGGAGTAACCCCTGTGCATCGCTGGGTGTGACCCAAAAAGAAAAAAATTTAAAAAATGAAAAAGAAATATTCAATTTCTGGGTATTTAAAAGAATTTTAAAGCAAAGGAATATTAACAGACTAAACCACAAATGAGGAAAGGCTGATCTCAGTCAAAATGCTAGCAATCTTTGTACTTATCACATCTACTATACCCAATGACCCATCAGGAAGAGTAGTTTTCAGAAATCATCCTCTTAGATAACACCCATTCATGAATTCATGAGACAGTATGCAGAGCTATTGCTTTTCCTGTATATTTCAAAGCCAACTGAACAGTCCTCTTTTTTTTTCCAATGGGGAGGGGGAGAGTGATGTCAGACCCAGCAATGCTCAGGGGTTACTCCTGGCTTTACACTCAGGAATTACTCCTGGTGGTGTTCGAGGGACCATATGGGATGCCAGGGATCAAACCCAGGACCTCAACATGCAAGGCAAATACCCCACCCACTGTACAATTGCTCGGACCCCCGCCCCCAAATATTCCCTACATGATTCAGAGAGGGCTAAGCAATGAGTTTTTCCAAATCATTTACTTCCATACAGAAGCCACATCAAGCCAGACAAGGCTTTGCCGCTCCTGTTTTACCTAGAAGTAAATTCATTTTAGAGAAGGCATTTCAGGACTGTCTTCCAGTTAGAACTGCTATTTTCCGCCAGCTATCTTAGAGGGCGGGGAAGAGTTGAGTGAAGCTTCAGAGGCAGTCACTTTCTACGTATCAAAGGTCTCGTTAAAAAGCTAACCACAGTCAGTGCGCTGGCAACCCACTACAATTTTGTTTGACTCAGTAATTACTCCTAAAACACTTTAAGAAGTTTGGTTAACTCTTTGGGATTATACCAGGTCAAAGTAGCTAACTGAGCATCCCATTTCTGTCTAATAAGTCTGAACAATAATCTGGCCAACTGGTTTCCCAGAGGCCTCCTCCAAGGTCTATTTCTGAGTCTACAAATTGCAGACGATGACTACATTAGAGATGACAAATGTATAAAGCAAAGTTCTACCAGTGATGACTAGAAAGGACAGTTTTTCTTAACTGCTTTCCTACACAATGCCAACTGCTTTTTCTGAACACATGAACTAAGTTCAGAACCAGCAGATTATATTTAGAAGCCATTAGAGTCTCTCTTGTGATTTTTTGATGATGACATCATGGCAAGCAACCCTCTATTGTTATCAAATGTTTTCAGGCATTCAGGCCCAAGTAACAGTCAAGCCTGTTGCTACACCATTGTTAGTTAAATGTGAAAGAAGGCAGGTCAGCCAACTCACATGGGAACTGGAAAGCAATTTTTCCACCACGAAAGAGTGGCTCAGCCCTGTTTTCGTTCATGGCCCTGCATCTTACCATCTTCTAAAATGAAAGTCTTGGAAAATTATGGAGAAAAAGGACGACGTCAATTGAAAGAGAAGTTACACATCCTTGCAAAGTCTGCTTTTCTTCCTTTATTTGTTCACTGTTATATCTAAGTTTGAATGTAAGCAGATATAACATTATTCCATTTTCTTATTTCAGGTTTTAGAAATGTTTTGACATTTTCACAATATTGTAATTGAAGTTAATAGTTCTGATGACAAGACTACCATCACAGGTTAAAAACAAAGTTGCTCACAGAGGAAAGACTTATCACGGCCTCAGGAATCACATACTCATTTTGAAACAAAACCTAAACTTCCAGCTAACTCTGATGTCTTGATTTTTTCAAATCTACAGAGCACTTTTAACATACTACACTGTGCTGACCATCTATTATAAATTTTACTACTCATTGGCCCCTCCCTCCCACCTGTATCTGTTTATCTGGCATTTTTTATTCCCTATGGCTTTCTTAAAGGAAGACTTTGAGGGGCCGGAGCGATAGCATAGCGGGTAGGACATTTGCCTTGCACGCGGCGGACCCGGGTTCGATCCCCAGCATCCCACATGGTCCCCCTAGTGCCGCCAGGAGTGATTGCTGAGTGCAGAGCCAGGAGTGACCCCTGAGCATCGATGTGTGTGACCCAAAAGGCAAAAAATTTTTAAAAATTTTAAAAAAAGGACTTTGAAAAAAAATTGGTTAGTACTGTGGTCTGAATATTTGTGTTCTGTTCCCACCCCAAATCAATATATTAAAATCTTTATGCTCAATGCGATGGCCTTTGGAATATGATTAGGTCATGAGGTCAGACTTTATAAACCAGACTAATGCTTCCTCCATCTGTTCTACCAGGTGAAGACATAGGAAGAAGTCTGTGACCCTGAAGAGAGACGTTAGGTATCATGCCAGTACCATGTTCCAGGACCACCAGAAAGGTGAGAAATAAATTTTTGTTGTTTCTAAGCACACCGGTCTGTGGTACTCTGTTACAGCAATCCCAAAAGGAGCTAAGACAATGAGGAATTGGATGGATTTTATTTCCAATGTATTCTTCACTGTGAAGGCAGGGACCACATCAGTATTTTCCCCCCCTCAGAAACTATGAAGGAGAGAGAAAGAGAAAGGATCGTAGCAGTAAGGAGAACCAAAAGCTGCCGAAGCAATTAGGGGAAGAAGGCACAGCCCTCCACCCAACGCTACTGCCGGGTCAGAGGGGTACGTGAGAAGCATGAGCGCGTGCGTGAGTCAGAGGTCGTGATGCGCTCAAGACAGAAACTCAGAAGCTCGAGAAAGGCTCCTTTCTTTCAGCCAATTCTCTCATTTGTAAAATGAGATATGTGACGCTGTCTTAAGAAATGAGGAAAATGGCACAGCACCTCGCAGATGGTGCTATGCTGCTGTGTAATTATACACCGAGCTTTCAAAAATAGAGTATTTACCTTCACACAGTCGACTTACTAAATGATGACAGAGACCTAGAACTACAAAATGTGGCAATGAAACAAAATTGAAAAAGGATCATGAACTCCTGAGGATGTCTGAAGAGTAATGCCAAAAAGGAAACGAAGAAAAGACTATTTGATAAACATCTCCCATATTTAGAAACTCTGAGTTTAAGCATAGATTTATAGAATTTATGGGTGCACAAAGCCAATGAGCCTGACACAAACTATGGTTAGTATGGGCCACTTGTTCCAAAGATGTCACTCTTTCACTCGTTCCTTCCCTGAGCATTTTCTATGGGCTTGGAGGTGCTGAGGATCAGACGGTAAAAGCGTAATAGAAACGGTCCCTTTTATCAAGGCATGCATCTTGGGTAAGGGATTTGACTTTTAGCATACTCTTCCAGACAAAGTTAGTGCCCAAGTCCACTTAACTCAGGTCCTTACTTTTATGGCTAAGGACCTTGACATCAAAAGGAGTTAAGAAAACGCTCAAGGTCTTAGTATAGCGATTGTTAGAGAAAGGAAGAGCTCTTTATCATCACTTGGTAATTAATCACACAGAGAAATGCGGACATTTTACTCATTTTGTATCTTAAAGGTAGAAGATATAAACATTTTCTCAATTTAATAGAACAGAAATACACTTTAAACTGGTTAAGAGGAAGTGCTCTATAACAAAAGGAAAATGGATGATAAAAACGTATACTTTGAGAAAAAAGGGCAACTCGACCAAGAAAACACAGATAGCCAAATCCACTCCAAGACTTCCACCTTCCTTATCCCTGGACCACCAAAATACTTTTCCAAAAGTCTTCCCACACTATGGGCAACAATATCTGACTCCAATACCCTTTACTTGTAATATCTGCTTCCCATTCTAGTGCTCCGCCCAAAAGAATTCACTCTTGAGCCTGGAGAGATAGTACAATGGGTAGGGCACTTGCCCTGCACACCGTCAACCTGGGTCATATTCCCAGCATCCCATATGGGCTACCAAACACCATCAAGAATGATCCCCAAGTGCAGAGCCAGGAGTAACCCCTAAGTAACCCAGGGTATGGCTCCAAAACGAAAGAAAGCAAAAACGACACCATCAACAACAAATGTCAACCAAAAGAACTCACTCTTACATACTCCAGCTTACCAAAATCATGTGCTCAAGGAGGAGGCTGCAAGCACTTGGGAAGACGTGGCATCTTCCAGTGTGGGTGAATCTCATACTCACTAGCCAGAAACCACACTGTCGCCATGGATACCATCTTTCTCCCTAAATGTTCTGCTTTTTCTGATACTGAAGCTAGATATTTTTCTCTTAATACTTCTTCTATTG